GATTGGAAACATTTGAGATGAGGTGATCAATGGGCAAAGAAGTATATTAGGATAGAAGAATCAGCTTAAGCAAAAATGTGGAAAAGAGAAAATTGTGGTAGACATTCAATGAATTGAACTTCTGAGATGCCTGAAGTACTGTGTTTGGGTAGAAAAAACGGAACAGGCTGGAGTTATGCTGGAGATCGAGTGACCAGCTGTCCAGTTTGCCAATGACCAAGGGGTTTTCTGGGACATAGAATTTTTATTTTTATTGAAACACAACTGATTGTACATATCTGTGGGGTACAGTGTTGAATATCAAAACCTGTGTGCAATATGTGATGCTCAAATCAGGATAATTTGTATATTCAACCTTACACATTATAATCATTTTTTGATTATTGAATTACTGAATCTCTTTCTTAATTTCTCACTAATCTCCTCCCTTCCACTTTCCCACCTCTGTTGGCCTCAGTTCTCTCCTTTTGGAAGTTCAACAGATTACTGTGATAGTTGTATCTTTTTTTTTCTTTATTTCTATTTTTAAATCAAAATACTTATTGAATTATTATTGAATTCCAGCACTTCTATAGGTAGTAAAATTATAATAGTAACATGTATTAATATTAACAAATAACAGTGATTTCCAGCAGCTCACCAACTAATTTTTTTATGGGGAGAATGTTAAGAATCTGTTCTTCTAGCAATTTTTTTTCCTACAATAAAGTGGTTTGATTAATTAATTTATTTATTTACTTATTTTTTATTGGAACAGAGTTGATTGTACATCTCTGTGGAGTACAGAATTGAATATCAATACCTGTGTGCTATATGTGATGTTCAAATCAGGATAATTAGTATATTCAACATTATACAATGTTATCAATTTCTTGGCCCTTTACCAATTCCTCCCTTACTCCCCAAACCTTTCCCCTTTCCCACCTCTGGTAACCTCAGTTCTGTTCTATTCTTTTGAAAGTTCAATGTGCTATTGTGATTGTTATATCTTTCTTTCCTTTTTTGTTTGTTTATTATCTGTGCAGAAGCTTTTTAGTTTGGTATAATTCCATTTATTTATTTTCCTTTGGTTGCCTGTGCTTTTGGGGTCATATTCTTAAAGTCTTTGCCAAGTCCTACTTCCTGAAGTGTTTGCCCTATGTTTTCTTTTAGGAGTTTTAAAGTTTCAGGATATATGTTTCAGTCTTTAATCCATTTCGAGTTGATTTTGGTATATGGTGAGAGGTACGGGTCTAGTTTCATTCTCCTACATATGGATGCCCAGTTTTCCTAGCACTATTTTTTAGAGGGCAATCTTTTCCCCAATGTATGTTCTTGGTACCTTTGTTGAAGATCAGTCGGCTGTAAGTATATGGGTTGATTTCTGGGCTTACTATTCCATAGGTCTGAGTGTCTGTTTTTATGCCAGTACCATTTCGTTTTTGTTACTATAGCTTTGTAGTATAATTTGAAATCAGGTAGTGTTATGCCTCTGACTCTACTCTTTTTTTTTTGCTGAGGATTGCTTTGTCTATGTGGGGTCTTTAGTTCCATATGAATTGTTTTTTTCTATTTCTGTAAAGAAAGGCATTGATATTTTGATAGGAATTGCATTGAATCTGTAGATCAGTTTGAGTAAAGGGACATTTTCATTCTTCCAATCCAAGAGCAAGGAATGTTTTTCCACCTTTTGTACTAACTTAATTTCTTTCAGCAGTGACTCATAGTTCTCATTGTAGAGATCTCTATTACTCAGATCTCATTACTAAAATTTTTAATCAGCTATAAGTTTTTATGGTAGAGTCTTTAGGTTTTCATATATATATAGGATCATATCATCTGCAAACAGGGACAGTTTGACTTCATCTTTTCCAGTCTGGATGCACTTTATTTTTTTCTCTTGCCTGATTGCTCTGGCTAGTACTTCCAATGCTATCTTAAATAGGACTGGTGATAGTGAGCATCCTTGTCTTGTTCCTATTCTTAAGGAAAAAGCTGAAATGATATCAGTGATGGGTTTGTCATATATGGCTTTTATTGTGTTGAGATACTTTCCTTCTATACCTAATTTGCTGAGAGTCTTTATCATGAAGAATTCAACATTCTGTCAAATGCTTTTTCTACACCTATTGAGATAATCATATGTTTTTTGTGCTTGATTTTGTTGATTTGGTATATCACATTTTATTGGTTTGCATATGTTGAACCATCCTTGCTTCCCCTGGGATGAATCACACTTGATCATGGTATCTAAATTTTTTGATGTGTTGCTGGATTATGATTACTAATATTTTGTTGAGGAATTTTTCATTAATGTTCATCAGAGGAGATATTGGCCTGTAGTTTTTTGTTGTTGTTGTTGTGGTGGTGGTTGTTTTTTCTGGTTTTGGGTCAGAGTGATACTGGCCTCATAGAATGAGTTTGGGAGAATGACCTCTGTTTCAGTTATTTGGAATAGTTTGAAGAGAATTGGTAGTAATTCTTCCTTAAAAGTTTTGTAGAATTCAGTAATAAAGCCATCCAGTTCAGGCTTTTCTTTGTTGGGAAACTGCTGATTACTGCTTCAATCTCATTGCTTGTTATTTGTCTATTCAGGTTTCTTGTTTCTTCTTTGTTCAGTGTTGGTAGTTTGTATGTGTCCAGAAATTTATCCATTTCCTCCATGATTTCAAAGTTGTTGTCATGTAGTTGTTAATAATAGTCTCTAATGATTCCTTTTATTTCTGTGATATTAGTTGTAATGTCTCATTTTTCATTTTTGATTTTTGAAATTTGGATCTTCTCTCTTTTTAGTTAGCATAACTTATGGTTTGTCATTTTTGTTTATCTTCTCAAAAAAAACTAACTTTTTGTTTCATTGATCTTTTGTATTATTTTGGAGGGTCTCAATTTCATTTAGTTCTACTCTGATATTATTTCTTTCCATCTACTAATTTTGGGATTGGTTTGTTCTTGTTTTTCCATTCTTTGAGGTGTAGTGATAAGTTGTTTAGTTGAAATCTTTCTGTTCTTTTGATGTTAAGAGTTTACTGCAATAAACTTTCCTCTTAGTACTGCTTTTGTAGTATTCCACAGGTTTTGATGTGATGTGTCTTTATTTTCATTAGTTTCAAGAAAATTTTTTATTTCATGTTTAATCTTTTCTTGGACCCATAGGTCATTCAGGAGCATATCATTTAGTTT